TATAATCTGCCTCTCTCTCTGTTTCTATCTTATTTTTCCTTCTTTCCCCTATGCTCATCTGTTTTGTTTCTTAAACTGTACATCTGAGCAAAATCACGTGGTATTTGCCTTTCTCTGACTTATTTCACTTAGCATAATACTCTCTAGTTCCATACACATTGTTGCAAATGACAAGATTTCATTCGTTTTGAATGAAACGATGGCTGAGTAATATTCCATCATACATGTGTGTCACACATGTATCCATCAGTTGATGGACATTTAGGTTCTTTCCACAATTTGGCTATTGTTGACAGTGCTGCTATAAACATGGGTGCATATGCCCCTCTGAACCAGTATTTTTGTATTCTTTGGATAAATACTTAGTAGTGCAATTGTTGGGTCATGGAGTAATTCTAGTTCTAACTTTCTGAGAAACCCCCACCCCATGAGCTTTCCAGAGAATACATACAAATGGCTAACAGACACATGAAAAAATGCTCAACATCACTCATCATCAGGAAAATACAAATAAAAACCAAAATAAGATACCGCCTTCCACCTGTCAAAATGGTTCAAATTAACAACACAGGCAACAACAAATGTGAGCAAAAAGATGCAGCGAAAGGATAACCCTCTCACACTGTTGGTGGGAATGAATGGAGTATCTTTTTTCCATCCTTTACTTTCAACTTCATTCGGTCTCTATCAAAAAATGAGTCTCTTATAGACATGATAGGTACAGTTATCTTCTTAACCATTCTGCCAATCTTTGTCTTTTACAGTATAATCTAACTTTTTTTTAAGTAGACTCCACACCCAATGTGGAGCTTGAACTCATGACTATGAGATCAAGAGCTGAATGCTTAGGGGCACCAGGGTGGCTCAGTTGGTTAAGCAGCTGACTTCGGCTCAGGCCATGATCTCACAGTTCATGAGTTCAAGCCCTGCATTGGGCTTGCTGCTTTCAGCACATAGCCTGCTTCAGATCCTCTGTTGCTCTCTGTCCCTTCCCTGCTCGCACTCTCTATCTCTCAAAAATAAATGAACATTTATTTGGGTTGCATGGGTGGCTTAGTCAGTTAGGCATCTGACTCTTGGTTTCAGCTCAGGTCGTGATCTCACAGTTCATGAGTTTAAGCCCCACATTAGGCTTTGAGCTGGTGGTGTGGAGTCTACTTGGGATTCTCTCTCTTGCTCCCTCTCTTTGTCCCTCCCCTGCTTGCACTGTGTCTGTGTCTCTCAGAATAAATAAACTTAAAAAAAAAATGAACGTTAAAAAAAAAAAAATTGAAGAACTGCTTGCTTAGAGCAGCTGGCTGGCTCAGTTGGAAGAGCATATGACTCTTGATCTTGAGGTTATGAATTCAAGCCCCACATTTGGTGTAGAGATTACTTAACACCTTTAAAAAAAAAAAGTCACATGCCCTACTGACTGAGCCTGCCAGGTGCTCCAACTAATCTATTTAACTTAAAGTAACTACTGATAGGGGCGCCTGGATGGCTCGGTGGGTGAAGTGTCTGACTCTTGGTTTCAGATTAGCTCATGATCTCACAGTTTGTGTGTTCAAGCCCATCAGGTTCTGAGCTGGTGGTGGGACTCTTTCTCTCCCCACTGCTCTCTGTCCCTCCCATGCTCTCTCTCTCTCAAAATAAAATAAACTTTAAAAATTAAAAAAAAAAAAATAAAGTAACTACTGGCAAGGAAGGATTTACTTCTGCCATTTAGAAACTATTTGCTTACTGTAGGTCTTAAATGTTTTTTGTTCCTCAATTCCTCCATTACCACATTTTTTGTATTTAATAGATTTTATGCAGTATACCATTTGATTCTCTTCCCATTACTTTCCTACACATATTCAGTTATTTTCTTAATGGTTGCCATGGAGACTACAATTAACATCATAAACTTATAATGCATAATCTGAACAATACCAACATAGTGTCAACAGTATACATGATGGTGCTATGTCTCTACTCCTTCTACTTACAGTATTATCATAGATTACACTTTTACACATTACGTGCCCATGAACATAGATTTATAATCTTCACTCTATACATTTGCTTTTCTTCAATCACATAGGAAAAAATGAGGAATTACAAACCAAAAGTGAAGTAAAACTATCTTTTATATTTACCTATATAGCTATCATGCTCTTTTTAGCATTTTGTGTAAAGCAGATTTACTAACGATGAATTCCTTTTTTTTTTTTTTGAAGATTTTTTTTTTTAAGTAATATCTAATACCCAATTCAGGGCCCAAATCTACAGCCCCAAGATTAAGAGTCACATACTCCACTGACTGAGCCAACCAGGTGCCCCTTCCCTCACTTTTTGTTTACCTGAGAATATCTTAATGTTGACTTCATACTTAAAGAATAGTTTTGTCAAATATCAAATTGTTTGATATTTTCTCTCTCAGAACTTACATCAGCACACTGCTTTCTGGTTCCAAGGTTTTGCATGAAAAATCAATTGTTAATCTTATTAAAGATCCCTTGTATGCTAAGAGACACTACTCTTGTTGCTGCTTTCAAGATTCTCTATTTGTCTGTGGCTTTTGACAATCATACTATCATGTGTCTCATTGTAGGCTTCTTTGAAATTAATCTGCCTGGAGTTCACTGAGTTTCTTGGATATACAGATTCATGTCTTTCACATCAAATTTGGTACGTTTTAGTAATTATTTCTCCAAATATTCTTTCTCTTTCTCTCTCCCTTCTCCTTTTGGGACAATCATAATGCAAATGTTGTTCTCCTTAGTGATATCCCACAGGCCCTTCAGACTCTATTCACTTTTCCTCATTCTTTTTTTCTTTTTCTTCTCAGACACAGTAATTCACTTTGTTTCATCTCCAGGTTCACTCATTCTTTCCTGCCTACCCCTATCTGATGCTGCATCCCTCTAGAAAATATTTTAGTATCAGTTATTGTACTTTTTAGCTCCAGAATTACAATTTAGTTCCTTTTGATAATTTCTAGATCTTTATTACTATCTCAATTTTTCGATACATCATTTTCTAGAATTCTTTTAGTTTCTAAAACTTTTAGTTGTTTGTCCATACTTTCCACTAGCTCTTTGAGCATGTTTCCAAAAATTGATTTAAAATATTTGCCTATGGGGCACCTGGGTGGCTCAGTTGGTTAAGCTTCTGATTCCAGCTCAGGTCATGATCTCTCATGGTTCTGAGATCCATTTGTGAGATCCTTTGCCAGGCTCTGGGCTGAGAATGGAGCCTGCTTAAGATTCTCTCTCTCCTTCTGCCCTTTTCCCCCACTCCCGTGCACTCTCTCTCTTTCTAAAAATCAAAAATATATGTATTTAAAAAAGAGCCATGAAAATCTGAAGCAAACATCTAATCATAAATTTATAGGTTCCAAGATATCTTACATTCTAGAGAAGTTGTAGAGGTTAGGTAAATTCATGGTACTTGATTGGCATATTAACTCTTGTTCCTTAAAGGACTTTTTATTTTCCCTCTATTTCAATCATAGTTATGATCTTATTCTTACCACAAACACCCTTAACAGTCTGCTCAACTATTCATATTATATCATGTTTAAAAATACAACAGATTTAGTCAACTTTATAAATACACAGACCTCTATAAATGTCTCATTATAAAGTATAATTTGCCAACAGATTTCTATCACAAAAAAAATCATGCCATGTCAACAAAATTTATAATTTCCCGTTAAAGATTAATTTGTTCTAATACATATAAGAACTTCATTCCACTAGTGGGTGATTGTATATATAGCAGAAATGATCAGGACAGATACTAAAACAAATAACGGTGTTATTGCACAATTTGCCTTTGCAGACAGAACAGTCTCCCTTATACATTTTAGCATTTTTAATACATAAATTAGATTGACACACCCAGTACTGCTTAAGACAGAATCTCCCCAAATTCCTTCTAATACTGAGCTTTCAATTAATTCATATGTAATGTTTAAATTTAGCAATCTTCTTCTAAGTTCATTTCAGATCAGATTTAAATCTAGGACTTTGCCAATATTCTGCTTTTACTGGGAAGTGTCAGGACTACACCCCACTTCTAAATTTAAACTTTAATCCTGACAAGTTCTTGAATGAAATTATTAATTAGCTCTTTCTTTCAAAAATGTTTGTCAAGAAAACCGTAGCTGGAGTGGGAAACGTGCAGGGCCTCTGCCCTCACAGAGCAGGCCCCCTTATTCAAAGTCTTTTGGAGTGGGAAAGTCAAAAGATGGAAGAGATTTTGGAGAATCTAAGCTTTAAACCCCAGTTCCACCACTTGCTAAACATTAGGCGAGTTAATTAATCTTTCTAACCTTTAATTTCTCCCTTTACAAAATGAGTTTAATACCAACTATTTCACAAAGTTATTTCAAGGGTTACATGTTAAAATACAGTAAGTACCTAGTACAAAACTGGGAACATTACTAAATATTCACAAATCTAGAGCCTGGCACATAGAATCCATTCAATACTCATGAATGAATAATCCACTCTGAGACAAAAAAATTTTAAATGGCATTTCCAAAGGAAGTGTGTCAAAGATAAAATATAGTATTTTAATCCAATTATTGTTCCAAATATGGGTAATGAGCAGCTTTTACTTCATTCTACACTCCTTAATTTGGACTTTCATTTATGCTTTAAAATATGTATTTTAAAGCACATAAGCATATCATCTAGTAATGTAAAAGGGGAATTAAAAGTCAATTTTTAAAACCTCATACCAACCCAAAATGCATACTATTGGAACCTAAAGCCAAATTTGGTATAAAATTTAACTAACAAAAAAATAAATAAAATGGCTTGTCCCAGAAGTTCAGGCACTCACTACAAAACACACCAAAGTTATTTATCAATTTTACTGAACCAACCACCCATGGGTACAAAAAACAAGATGGCTTATTTTAGTCTCTGAGCATTATTTTTAACATATAATAATGTGTTAAAGTGTAGCTTCAAGCAAACATTTTGAGTTAATCAGAGTAAAACCATTTTATAGATGCTAATATTTACCTGTTTGAGTCCTTCATCAGTAAGTTTGTCCTGGTTGCCTACATGAACTTTCTGAAGTAAAGGACAATGAGAGGCAACCGCAATAATAGAAGTGTCAGAAAGCTGTTTACACCTGTAGGCTGTATACCTAAGAAGTCCAGGACACTTAAATGCTAGAACACATACGCCTGTATCAGACATACTGCGACAATCAGAAATGTTGATTTCAATTATATTCTGACTTCTTGATGCAATTTTTTCCAATAATTCATCAGTGACCTAGGAGGAAAAAAAAGGAATAAGTTTAAACTTTTGCTAAAAGTAGAAACGTACTTTCTATTCTTTTATTAAGTTTTCCCCCAATAAATAATAATTAGATTACAGCATGAAAACCACAATCAAAACAAAACCTTCTTATTGAATATTAAAGCATAACAAGAACTGTGGTATAGCATAAAATGCATACTTAGTCTTTGTTTCTAATTCCTAGAACAGAGCCTCCACAACTCTTGGAATTTCCTGATTGATAGGAGTGTCCTTTGTTATTCATAACAAGCCCCTTTTGACCACACTTGAGTTTATACTAATGAAATGACTTAAACGGGGGCCCCTAGATGATACCTTTACGATGAGGTCTGGTCACCAGAAAAACCATGTGATTAGAAAGTGGTAACTGTCAGCCTCAACCCCTGACTTCCTGGGAGGGTACAGGGGCTAGAGACTAGGTTAGAAAAACTTTTCAGCAATGAAAATTGAAGAGCTTCTAGGTTGGCGAACACCTTAAGGAGCCAGGGGGGTGACAGGCCCACAGACTCTATGGAAGCTCCACATCTTCTCCACCCCCGTAATTTGTCCTAGGCATCTTTTCCATTTGGCCAGTCCTGAGTTGTATCCTTTACAATAAACCAGTAAAAGTATTTTCCTGAGTTCTGTAAGTCATTTTAGCAAATTATCAAACCTGAGGAAAGACTAGAGGGAACTGTTGAAGTCACAGCTGGTCAGTGAGAACTACTGGTGACTCCTGGGACTCGTGAGGGGTGTATGAAGAGGGGACAGTCTTATAGGACTAAAGCCCATAATCGGTGAGGTCTGCATTAACCCCAGGAGTTGGTGTCAGAATTGCACTGAATTGTTAGATACCCAGTTATTATCAGAGAATTTTTTAGAATGAAAAAAACTCCACACATCTCGTGTCAGAAGTGGTATGGAAAAACACCAAGCAAAAATATATGTGTTAATTTTCGTTGAAAGCCTAAGATCTATCCTTATCAGGAAAGTTACTTTAACTTTCAAAGTTAAACTTTGAAGAAGTTTGAATACACAAAATTATACTGAGATTTTAATTGCTTTGTTTTCTATTTTTAACCCAGCAAACAGTGTGTATCAGTCATCACATTATATGAATTGTAACTTATTATACCTAGTATTAGATGATCCCTACCACAAAATATAAATTTTAATTGTTTTACTACTTTTTTATTTAAAATTTATTTTTTATTTTTTTAATATACATTTATTTTTGAAAGAGAGAGAGAGAGAGAAAGAGACACACAGAGTACAAGTGGGGAAAGGGCAGAGAGAAAGGAAGACAGACTCTGAAACAGGCTCCAGGCTCTGAGCTGTTATCATAGGGACCGATGTGGGACTCGAACTTGGGAATGGCGAGATCATGACCTGAGCTGAAGTCACCACTTAACCAACTGAGACACCCAGGTGCCCCTTTAAAAAAAAAAAAAATTAACGTTTATTTATTTTTGAGACACAACAAGAGACATAGCATGAGTGAGGGAGGGGCAGAGAGAGAGGTAGACATAGAATCTGAAGAAGGCTCCAGGCTGTATCAGCACAGAGCCTAACACAGGGCTCGAACTCACAGATGTAGAATCATGACGTGAGCTGATGTAGGACACCAAGCCAAACAGGTGTCCCTTTACTACTTCTATCAGAATGCTACCTCATATATATATATAGAAAATACATCATTTTGTTTATGAACACATCCAAGATTACATACAAATGTCCATAACAAATACCTTTTATCAAAAAAAACCCTCAAAGCTAGAGGTGCTTTAAGTGTCCAACTCAGCTCAGATCATAATCTCAGGGTTCATGGGTTTGGGCCCCATATCAGGCTCTGTGTTGACAGCTCAGGCTGGAACCTGCTTCAGATTCTGTGTCTCCCTCTCTCTCTGCCCCTCCCCTGCTCGCACTCTGTCTCTCTCAAAAAAATAAATTACAAAATGTTAAACAAAATTTGTTTTAATTTATGTAAGAAAAATACCTCAAAGCTAAGTATGAGTAACCTTAGAATTCATGTGGTAAAAAACTCACATGGCCGTCTGAATTTTAAACATAATTTTTTAAAAATCAACCTGTACATATTCTATACCCAATCATGGAATAAGTCACAGGGATGAAAGGTACAGCATAGGGAGTATAGTGAATGGTGTGGTAATAGCCTTGTACAGTGAGAGATGGCAGCTACACTTGGGATGAGCACAGCATTACATATAGAGTTGTCAAATCACTATGTTGTACACCTGTAAAAGTAGACTTCAATAAAAAATAAGTAAACATAAATAAAAAAGAAAAAGAGGGTTAATATTATTCAAGTCCCTTGAGTACAAATAACGGTCAGAGAAGATGCACATGACGAAATTTAGAACAGAAGTAAAGAACTGCAGTGCTGAGGAGCACTAAAAGTAAGAGACAAGGCTGAAACTACCTTTATGCTCCCTGGAAAAAGCATAAATACAGACAGTTACCTTCAAAGTTAAAACCTGGACATAGCTCTCCTTTTATCTTTTCTTCTTTTTTCATCTCCAGACATAACTACCAATAGAATGGTAAAGCTATTCTTAGCCTGAGTTTGTAACAAACAGCTCAGATATCCAAGAGTACTAAAGAGCCAATGGATTATTTCACATTACTTCTTTCCACTCTACCAGCCACAATAACTAAATACTCACTATTCTCCCTGGACACAAATTTCATGGACCCAGGCAGGGAAATGACTAATTCTGTAATTATTTCAGCTTCTAACCAATGAGGCAGAAAAACAAAAAGAAAACTTACACATAAATGTCCAGGATTTGCTTATTTTGTTTAAAGTGAACGAGTGATACACACACACACCCCCCACGTAAACTACTAGTGGTATGCTGCATGTAGTTGGCTTGTACCAACTCACAAGAGCCTGCAATGTGTACCTCTTTCCAAATCAGGGACATCACCACATTCAGTGATATTACATCCATAGCCTGAAATAAGCCATGGTGGGAGCATTTGCACCACAAAAACTAGCAAATATTACAAATCACAGCTTTCTATTTGTTTTTGAAAGGAGTTGTTAAACATGTGGCAGCACACCAGTACCTAACAGTATCATGGATTTAGAACAGGTTCAGTACTCCCATAAAATCCTATTCTTATTGAATATTTTTATGCATTTCAATGCCAAGTTCTAACAATCAAGCCCAAAAGAAGTTCTAACAATCAAGTCCAAGTCCAAAAGAAAAAAACAACAAGTCCAACAAATTGTATGCAATAAGCACTATTAACTCTACCTTTTTTCCTAACTTATGCCACCATATGAACACATTGGGCAGCCAGGCAATAGGGAAGATTAGAAAATTAATCAAAAGGAAAATAAAAACAAGATATCTTAGCCCATTTTGCTTCTATTTATTCATCTGTAACAGTAGTGTGAGAATGCTTAAACTATTGAGGCACCTGGGTGGCTCAGTCAGTTAAGTGTCAGACTCTGTTTCAGCTCAGGTCATGATCTCACGGTTCATAGGATTGAGCCCCACATTGAGCTCTGCACTGACAGTGCAGAGCCTGCTTGGGATTCTCTCTCTTCCTCGCTCTCTGCCCCTCCCCCGATCTCTCTCTCTCACACACACACTCTCTCACTCTCTCACTCAAAATAAACTAAAATTCTTTAACAAAAAAATTTTAAAAAAATACTTAGGGGCGCCTGGGTGGCTCAATCAGTTGAGCGTCCAACTTCAGCTCAGGTCATGATCTCACGGTCCGTGAGTTCGAGCCCTGCTTTGGGCTCTGGGCTGATGGCCCAGAGCCTGGAGCATGCTTCCGATTCTGTGTCTCCCTCTCTCTCTGCCCCTCCCCCGTTCATGCTCTCTCTCTGTCTCAAAAATAAATAAACGTTAAAAAAATTAAAAAAAAAAAATACTTATACTATTCACCTATAACAGTGTAAAGATACTATAATTAATAGTATAATAATAACACATTAAAAGGGATAATAATAGTATCAACTCAAAACGTTGTTAGAAGATTCAAATGCTTTAGTATGTGTAAAGCCCAGAGAACAGTACATGGCATATCAGCAGTACTATATAAACATATGCCATCATGTTCTACTACTAAACTAAAATTCATGATATAATTCCTACAAAAAGGGGGGGAAAGCTTAATAACTTTCTTTAAACGTAATGAAAAAAGGGAGAAGACAAAGAGGACTTAGACAAAAGGATTAAGAAGCAACCCAAAATTACCAATCCACATTAAATATCTTCTTCATCACAAGAACCTAGCTATAACATAAATTCACACAAAAAAATTACTGAAGCATGGAATTATAAGTTACAGTCATTCGAACTACTATCTTGAAAAACTCCAACATGAAAGAAATGATTTCTGAAGAGAAATAAAGATATTTGTTGAGTAGGCCAAGGTGTTTCTTAGAATTGGATTCCATACCTGCTGACGACTACTAAGATCCAGCTGCTTCCAAAACTGGAAATCTAAACAAAGGTCACGCCAGTACTTGCAAACCAACGAGGCAGAAAGGCAACGCTCATCCAGGGATAAATTGGAAAATATCTGTAAATAAAAAAAGAACCATATAATATGTGCTAAATACTTCAAAAGCACAGGAACAGTTTTTTGTTAATTAGAAAAAATTAACTTTTAAAACAGAAAATCATCTTGAATACAAGTGGCCATTATTAGAAAAGTCATCATTAGGGACAGCCCTAAAGAGGGTATGAGAGTTAAGAATGTGTGTTAACATTACCTTCTATGTAAAAAGAGTGGGTGTGAGAGCAGGGGGATTTCTCTCTAGAGAGAGAAAATGTGTGTTTGCCAGTATTAAAATTTTTACAATTAAGGTATGTATCAATAAATACAATGTGTGGACCATATTGGGATCCTGAACTGAACCAACTATAAGAAGGTTCTTCTGAGACAATCAGATAAAACTGAACACAAGATATTAGAAATCAGAAAATTATTATTCACTTTTTAAGCTTTGATTATATTGTAGTTATGTTCATACCGTGGTTACGTTTTATATAAGTATTATGCATTTTAGATATATACTTCAGTGTTTATAAATAAAATGATATCTAGAATTTGCTTTCAGATACCTTATCAGAAACAAAAAAAAGTTAGTGAAAAATAAAACAAGAAAGGCAGAATACTGAAAACTAATAAAACTGGTTGAAGATACATGGTGGAGGGCAGGTTCATTACAGTATTTTCTACTTTGGTTTGTATATGATAATTTCCATAACACATAAGTAAAAATTTTAACGAGAACATGTGCTCTAACACTAAATTGTCTTATGCTGGGTTTAAATCATGACTCCAGCATTTATTATCTATGCAACCTTGGACAAATTACTTACTCTCTCTGTACCTCAATTTATCTTTAAAATGGGGATAATAGGGATTGCCTGGGTGGCTGACCTCATCTCAGGTCATGATCTCACCATTCATGATTCTGAGCCCCACATTGGGCTCTCTGCTGTCAGCATGGAGCCCACTTCAGATCCTCTGTCCCCCTCTCTTCTGCCCCTCCCCTGCTCTCATTCTCTCTCAAAAATAAACATTAAAAATAACAATGATAAATAAAATGGGGATAATATAGTATTGACCTGATAGAGTTATTGTGAGGACTAAAGGAGTTTAAAGTTTTGGAAACAGTATCTGGAACAGAGTAAATAGTATATAAATGATTCCTATCATTACTATGACCTAAAGTGGTAAGCCTCTGGGCAGGCAAAAGGTGTAGACACCTCAGCTAGAATCTCTACTATATTTAAATCTTAAGCCTGGGGAAAATAACTACCTTCTCTTCACAACTACCATTCTTTTTCCAAGGGTCTACTGAGAAATAAAAAATATGTGTAAGAATCACCAGCAAAGATGACGTTAAGCCCACTACAGTCTCTCACTCCCACTCATGACAACTAAAACCTATGGATAACATACTAAAAGCAAATAACTCAGGACTCCAAAAGGTTAGTAAATAGGGGCACCTGGCTGGCTCAGTCAGTAGAGCTCATGACTCTTGATCTTGGGGTTGTGAGTTTGAACCCCACTGGAGGCATAGAGATTACTTAAAAATAAAATCTTTTTAAAAAGTTTTTAAACATTAAAAATAAATAAAAGGTTGGGTGCCTGGATGGCTCAGATGGTTAAGCATCTGACTTTTGATTTCAGCTGGGTCATGATATCACAGTTAGGGAGACTGGGCCCTGAATCCAACTCTGCACTGATATCACAGAGACTGCTTGGAATTCTCTCCCCCTCTCTCTGCCCCTCCCCCATGCTCTCTCAATAAACATTAAACTCAAACCCATGCTCTCAAAATAAACATTAAACAAATAAATAAATGTTAGTAACAGATGGATTGGGGAAGTGAGCCAAAACTTAAAGAATAGTCAGTAATAGGAATGAGTTTCCTGAGTTTTTTTGTTTTTTCTCCCATCATGGAATAGGATGGCCCCTGTGCAGAATTGTACATAAGACACAACTAAACTACAGAGATAAAACCATCTTTCTGGACAGAATGTGAGCAGAAAATGTGAGAACCTTCATTTTGGGTTTTCTTTCCTTTCCCTTTTCTTTTCTCTCTCTGTTGGCCATGTCCCAATACAGCCTAAGTCACAGAGCTGCAATGTGGCAGCTGTGTAGACACCTAAAACTCTGAAAGTAAAACCATTTTTCTGGCCAGTGGAACCAGCAAAGAGAACTCTGTGGACCAAAGAGTGTGCAAGGAATCCTCACTACCTTTTTTGCCACAAGGCAATGGGATGACATATTTAAAGTGCTGAAAGAAAAACTGTTAAGCAAGAACTCTGTATATCTGGCAAAACTATTCTTCAAAAATAATGGAGAAATTAAAATATTCCCAGATGGGCACCTGGGTGGCTCAGCAACTGACTTCGGCTCAGGTCATCATCTGATAGTTCATGGGTTTGAGCCCCGCATCAGGCTCTGTGCTGACAGCTCAGAGCCTGGAGCCTGCTTCAGGTTTTGTGTCTCCCTCTGTCTCTGCCCCTTTCCTGCTCATTCTCTTGTCTCTCTCTGTCTCTCAAAAATAAATGTTTAAAAAAATATATAAAAAAAAATATTTCCAGATAAATAAAAACTGAGGGAGTATGTCACTAGTAAACCTGAGTGTAAGAAATGCTAGAGGGAGCTCTTCAGACTTAAATGAAAGAGCATAAGCCAGCAGCTTGAAATCACATGCAGAAATAAAAAACAACAGTGGGGCGCCTGGGTGGCTCAGTCAGTTGGGCGTCTGACTTCGGCTCAAGTCATGATCTCGCGGTCCTTGAGTTCGAGCCCC